ATCCCCTCATCCAAGTTGTCAACAAAGATATTAAAGAAAATGAGCCCAACATTGATCCCTGGGGAACATCACTAGTGACCGGCCGCCAACCGGATGCGGCACCATTCACCACCACTCTCTGGGCCATCCAGCCAGTTCTTAACCCGGCAGAGAGTGCCCTGTCCAAGCCATGGGCTGCAGCTTTTTCAGGAGTATGCTATGGGGGATGGTATCAAAGGCTTTGCTGAAGTCCGGGTAGATTACATCCACAGCCTTCCCCTCATCCACCAGGTGGGTCACCTGCTTGTAAAAGGAGATCAGGTTGCTCAGACAGGACCTGCCCTTCCTAAACCCACGCTGGCTGGGTCTGATGTCTTGCCCATCCTGTAGGTGCTGTGTGATCGCAGTGAGGATGATCTGCTAGATGACTTTGCCAGACACTGAGGTTAGGCTGACAGACCCATAGTTTCCCGGGTCCTCCTTGCAACCCTTTTTGTGGATTGGTGTGACATTCGCCAACTTCCAATCATCTGGGCCCTCCCCAGTGAGCCAGGACTGTTGGTTAAATGATGGAGAGAGGCTTGGCAAACTCCTCTGCCAGCTCCCTCATCACTCTGGGATGGATCCCATCCGGTCCCACGTCTATTCATTTTTTTAACACCTTCAAGGATGGTGACTCCACCACTTCCGTGGGGAGCCTGTACCAGTGCCTGACCACTCTTTCAGTAAAGAAATTTTTCCTAATATCCGACCTGAACCTCCCCTGGTGAAACTTGAGGCCATTTCCCCTTGTCTTGTCACTAGTTACCTGGGAGAAGAGCCTGAACCCCACCTCAACCACAATCTCCTTTCAGGTAGTTGTAGAGCAAATCCCAACACTTTTTCTCAACAACATACCTCTGGTATTTTCATGAGATGAGGTAAATCCTGGTTATGGCATTACTTGCCATATTTATCCCAAATAAACAGGTAACAGCAACAGCATTAAAATATTTTACCAAAAGTTGATTTCTTTTAATAAATTCAGGTTAAGTGCAATAAACTCTTCCATTAAAAAATAGAAAAGGTAGTTTCATGTAAATTTTCTGCTAGGTTATTTAGATTGTCTTCCTTGGGACATCCCTCAATTTGTTCCATTTGCTGCATTATATTCTCAAGAAGATTTTACTGAGCATTTTTCAGATGTCAGGAGTAACAGTGTGTGACACGAGTGACTCCAGTTGAAAAATGTTCCCATTACTGAGTTAGGTATCTCATCTTAAAACTGACTTTCCTCAAAAAATTAAGCAAGCCTTGACAAAATTCATTTATTTGAGTTTATCAGCTGGGAAACATTAAACATATGATACAACTGACCTTTATATCTCCTTACGATTTGTGTCAGACACAGTGATAATCTTGTCCACTGTCTCCACTGATACTCATTTCAAATTCTCTAAAAATCCTCATGCTAACTATTTCAACATCACTATGTTAGGCTGAAATACAGTCCTAAATGTTGTTCCCTTACAATCTTTTTTCCTATCCAGACTATAAACTCTGGAGTCTTGATGCATCTTCTCACATTAGGCAATCTGTTCATTTATGTCAACCAAGGTACCAGAATTGGGCATTTGGGTAACAAGAAAAGTACATCAATTGCCATCACTGATAGATGTTGTAAGGAAACACTTAGAGGCAGCATGTGATGCTTGCCAAATTAAAGCATCTCCATATAAAGAAAAACTCACCTGGCCTGCATGTGATTCAGAACCTGGTCTGCAGCCAAATCCTCCATCAAAGTTCATACAGGACAAAACAAATTCTACTGCCTTCCCCACATCAATGGCATCCAACTTTCCCTGCAAGTCAGAAAACAATTAATGCACCTGATATTCTTCCAAGCTCATCACCCCAGAAACTTCAGCAGTACCAAAGAGAGGATTCTGTACTTGTGCAAGCGATAGTTTAAGACTCACCAGAAGTGCAAGAGTTGCCACAGCACAGAAGGAGAACCTGGTATCTATTTCTCCTACAATGTGAGGGGTAAGGAATCAAATAATTATTACTTTAACAACAAAAATGCATTTAAATCACCACAGAAAATATGGAATAAAATGTTAAAAAAATAGGTTCTACAAACAAAAATCAGCTAAAAATTTCCCTCATACAATTTCCCTTTCCAGCTCATTAATTATTTTCTTAAAAACTTAGAAAATGTGCATTACAATCCAAGTGATCTGTAAGTTTACTGCACACAAAAGTCAACAACCCATTTAGAACTGGTGCAGAGATATACATATATATCCAAATCAGTTCAACTAGCAGTAATTTACAAATAACTATATAGTTTTGGAGTTAATCTGTAGTGCCCTATAAGATAATAGCAGAGCAGTGGAAATAATGCAAAAACAATCAGACACAACTCTTGATCTGCCATAAATCCAGGTACAAATAGAAACCATTTTTGGTTTTAGAGGCAAACTTATTAAAGCTGCAAGTTTTCTTTTGCATATTTATACCTGGAAGCTAAACCAAAGCTGCTACACCTATAGAAGGATTGGTCAGCAAGTCCACACTGACACAAGTCTCACACCACAAACTCCAAACAGTTAATACTTGGAAGTTATTATTTAAAATAAGCCTTTTAAGGGTGACTAAATATTTATGCTACTGCTTAAAAATGCCATGTTTGTTCATAAACAATTTATATTCAGGAACAAAATCAGTATTAGCAGAAGTTCCTGAGTACAAACCCAGTTTTTCTCACTCCCATGTAGTGAAATATCCTTTTCCAGCTGACATGGACAAAAATCACCACTGACTGCCACTAAATAGCAAGTATAAAACATTCCTTATGGAACAGCCTATCTCGTATATCAAGGTACTGTTATGTTACAAGTGCACACAAGTTTTCATCTTTACAAATTGGACAATTTATGCTTAATACACAAGAAAGGAACTAAAGTTTAGAATATTTAGGAAAGGAATGAAACACAACTCAATCATTTACAACTCCTCCTTTTTCATAACTCAGAAGTGTTTACATACAATACATATGCAAAATGATCATCCAAGGAAACTTAAGTGTACAGACTCACATGTCAGCCTAATTACTGCATTTGAAAGATCTAAAAATTACCCCATTCATCCCCAGCAAATGATCCATCTTCTTTCTGCAGACTCTGTATGTATTCAACAATTTTATTTACATCAACAACATGGAGACTATCATATAAGATAAGAATCTGCAAAAAAAACAAAACAATGAAAAAGGGACAAAAAATTTAAACATTTATTTCTGAACACCGACAAAAAATCCTGGATTTATAAAAGACTTTATTTAACTGACTATGAATACTGTTTTGTAAGGTTTATTGAAATAGATTTTCTTTTACTTTAGTAGTTCCTCTCTGTAGATTATCTACCTCTGTCTAAAATCTTTCAGAAATTCTCAAATGAAAATACAGCAATTCAAGCTGAACTCTTGCATGCTTTTCGTACTCGGATGATGACATCCTACATTTACCAATTTGTAGCTTTACACTGCTGTATAAGTTAAGCAGCTAGTTACTAATTCATTTAAGTCCAAGCCTGTCAACAATTATGAGTTTTAAATGATTCCATTTTTATTTGAATACAATTTTTAAATATAATGAGTGGAACCAAACTGCAGTAACTTAATAAAAAGTGTGAACAATGTGATTATACACCAGCTGTACAGTGAGGATATTCTGGAAGAAAAATAAAGATCATAATAGGAAATACAGAGTTTTCCAAGCTAACACTGCTTGAAACCAGCAAACCTATATGACACAATGTCATGTGAAAACAACAACACTGTTTTTAAGTCCTATCTGACTTCATGTTTTAACTCATAACTGGCATAATCTGTAAAGAGAACAATTACAAATTTACTGTAAATAGCAGGAAAAAAAACCAAACCAGTTAAATCTAAGCAATATTACAGTGCCAATCCTGACAAACACCAGCAACTATGACTTTAAACACCCAGAGTCAGCTGCAATCTTTCAATTGTTAGATAAAATTTAAGTCTTACACAGAATGCAAAAAAGAATACGCAACTCTTAATGAAGATATGCAATCATAGCACATTCCTTAAAAAGCAAATCCGAGCAAATTAACTGTGCTCAAAAGGAGACATGATGTGACCCTTTAAACATTCCGGATATGCAGACAGGACAATGCAGTATTTGCTACCTAAAGACATGCACATTCACTAAGACATGCTGGTTGAGTTTACCACAAAAATTTCACATCAGCATTTGCTAACACTTCCAGTTTGCACATCTAAGCTCCATGCAGTTAACATGGAAATATCTCCTAGTAACATCAAATATTTATTTAACAACTAACATCTCTAATATGTAAACAACCTCAAATTGTACCTCCTTGTACCCGCCTTACATGGAATTGGAATTTGTGACAGGAGTTGGACTGGACAGTTTGGAAACGTTCAGATATCACAGCCTAAAGAAACTTCAGTTTCCTGATTCTCAGAGTACTCAGAGTCATTCCAGAGCTAAAGTAGTAACAAATATCAACCCTGGAACATTATTCTGTCCTACCTAAGGGTTCAAATCTAATACCTTAAATCCAGCATACTTTCTGCCTATAACAGGATGCCACATTATTCATTTGTAACACCATTAAAGTATTTCTTCCTTAAGACTGAACCAGAGATGCATAATGCAGTCAAGCAATTGTTCTGAAGTGTTTGAGCCTTTTCCATACTGTTTTCCACACCAGTTTGCATGAGAACAAAACAAAACAAGACACAAGAAATAGCAATAAATTAAATCTACAAAGGAGACAGCTGCAGTGAAAAAATGATTGAAAATTCATTCTTATCAGGGGAAAAGTACGCAGCAAATAAACACATAAAATGCTCAACAGTCTGGTATAATTATTATTAAGTTATATACAAAAAAGCAAACAAAATCAAAACTTTACTCTTATTCTGGTCTTAGTTATCTTTCACCTCAATGTACACTAAGAAGAATTTATAAAGTCCAAAATTATCTACAAAATCTCCAGTAAAACCTGCAGTTAAGGAATAGTTCATGACAACTGTTACCAAATTGGTGACAGTATGCAGTAATTATTAAATGATTGTTGAAAGTAAAATGTTCCCAAATATGCCACCTTTTAGGAAGCGGTACAGCTAAATCCTGAAGTTTTGTCCATCCAATTTTTGTTAGTAAGGTACTGGAATAGTTTTTGTTGTTGGCTTCCAACAGCAACTGGTTGATAAATCTGCAGTCATCAAAACCATTAATCACAGATCTTTTCTCTACAATTACCTAACTACTATTTACCTGAACAGCACTGAGGGTGTACAGAAGATGAGGATCATGGCCTATGCTGGCACTTATCCCACCACATTCATGCTGACACGACTTGATGAATGCCAGAATTTCATCCTTGTTCATTCGGTGCAGCTGCCCCATGAGGTCCATCGCTGTCAGCCCCCAGTAGACACCACTCATTCTCAGATACTCCGACATACAGTATTCCTAAGTAGGGCATTACTTTAGCTCTTGGTCAGATAAGTACACCAACCATACAGAGTGAAAACACATCAGCTAACATTGACAAAGAGTTTCTAGTAAGTCAACCATCTTCCATCCAGTTAAGAACTGGTAATTATCAGCCACTCACAGACACTGTGTGCACCATGCACACATGTAGAGACACAGCATACACACAGGCACGTGTATACATCTACACACACTGCACACTCTTCTTCCTCTGTATCAAGCTCAGTATCAAATTAAACACATACAAATAGTTAGGCACCAATTCACTTCAGTTCATGACTCATTATCTTGGCAAACTACCCCTCAAATTGCCACCCCAACTAGTCTCAAAAATAACATTTCCAAGTGCCAAAACTCTCACAATCTAAAGTTGCATTAGGAAGTGAAATTGCGTATTGAATTCTCTTACATTGACTCTATCACCTACAATACATAAACACTATTTTCTATATGCAGTATTTTTTAAGGACAAGAAAAATCAATCATAAGCAACAGTGCTTAGTTTTTTTTGTGAACAGTAAAGGTAACTGCAACATGTCTTCACAGAAGCAGTTACTGACATTTTTCACCTGCTGGAAGTGGAATCCTATTGCTGTCAGCTACATCTGATCATTTATGACTACAAAACTGATGTTAAAGTGTTTAAGTCTAGTAAACATGGCACAGTGCTGTGATTCACTTAAGATGTCCCATCCAAAGAGAAATGTGCAGCTGTACTTGTGCATTCTAGTGTATGAAGAAGCAACAAGTAGCTTTTTTCTCAGGTCTCAGAGTAATAGTAGAGCTAAATTGATCATCGTCAAATTTATGCTCAGAATACATGCCGAAACTCATCACAGACCCAGAGAAATTGACACACCTTTATTTTAAACTTTGGATTGCAGGGCAAAACACAATTAGCTTGTCAGCATCTATCTAACCCTTCACTCTGCACCAGAAAACTGAACTTATTATTATTGTTCATAGAACCACAGCTGTACTGGAACAAATTGGTACCTACATAGTCATCTTTCTTTGTTCCGTACGAAGCTATGTAGTCCACGTGCTTCTCTGAGAGCAGTGTGCTCGGGGCATCGGGTTTTATTAGAACATCCTTTTGCGGTGTCCCCTGTGAAAAGCACCAATGTGTCAGTTTCACTGTCAGGCCGCGAGGTTTTTACGTAGAGGTGTAATTCAGTGCACGGCGGTGATGCGGCTCGGGAACCGACATCTCCGCGGCTATTCAGCGCGCAGGGAGGCGCCGCAGCTCACACCGTCCCTTCTCGGCCCGGGCACGGCTGTGAAACAACCCTCCCCGTAACGCCGAGGAA